GAATTTTGATGAAAAATTAAAAGCTTGAAAGTTTAATGATTTTTAAGAAATTACTGATGTTGGATTTATTGACCCCAGATCCGTGTTTTAGTTCCGGAGCCCGGTATAGGTCCACTATAATATTTATGACTTGTCTGCCGAATTTGGTGAGAATCAGAGTTGATTTAACGTGATTCGACGTTCGGTTGTAAAAATATAAGTTTTAAAGTTTTCTTGAAAACTTCCTTTGATTTGGTATCCGATTCATAGTTCTAGGTGTTATTTTGGCGATTCGATCGCGTGAGCAAGTTTGTATGATGTTTTAGAACTTGCGTGCATGTTTGATTTGGAGCCCCGAGGGCTCGGGTGAGTTTCGGATAGGCTACGGGATGATTTCGGACTTAGAAAATCTGGTTTTCTGCAGACTTCAGGCTTCTGGAGTGTTCTTCTTCGCGTTCGCGAAGGTACTCTCGCGAACACGAAGAGCAAATTGGGCTGGCACGTTTTTTGCTTTGCGTTCGCGAAGGCTTGAGGTTCAAAGCTTCGCCTTCGCGATAGAAGCCTCGCGTTCGCGAAGGGAAAGAGACTGGTCAGGAAAATTAGCCTTCGCATTCGCGAAGGCCAAGCTAGGCATGCTATCGCATTCGCGAGGAGTAAAATTTGACAGCACATAATTGTGCTTCGCGAACGCGAGGCACGACCGCGTTCGCGAAGGGTAAAAATCCCAGAAACAGAACTTTAAGTTCTGGAAATGGGGTTTCGACCCATTTTTGAGCTCGGGTAAGGCGATTTTTGGGCGATTTCACGGAAAAATATTGGGGTAAGTGTTCCTTATCCTATATTGATTATATTTCATGATTTCATACTCATTTATATCATGAATCCGTGAATTTATGGAAGAAAAATCAGATTTTTATAAAATCTTTCAAAAATAAAAATTTAAGATTTGAAGGTCCATTTGATATCGGAATTGGACAAATTTGGTATGGTTGAACTCGTATCGGAACGGGTGTTCGGATTTCGTGAGTTTTTTTGGAATTTGATATGTGGGTCCCACTGCCGAATATTTTAATGAATTTTGGATTTTTATCCGAAAAATTTATAAATTCATATGGAATTAATTCCTATGATTAGTATTGAATATATTGAATTATTTGTGAATAGATTTGAAGCTTTTGGAGGAAAATTTAAAAGGAAAATTTGTGGTTGAATAATTGATTTGGAATTTGCAAAGCGAGGTAAGTGTCGTGGTTAACCTTGACTTGAGGGAATAGAACCCTTAATTTATTTGTTATGTGAATTGCATGTGAACGACGTATAGGCGAGGTGACGAGTGTATATACATCGTCAAATTAATTATTTGCCTGCCTACTTGAAAAAAATCATAAATTATTTTTAATCATAAATTAATTATTATAATAATTGTTTCTCTCTTATTCTTTGTCAAATATTAATTCTTGAATTCCTGCATTAATTGTTACATGCTATTTGAATTATGTGATTTAATTGTTATTTGACATTTAGTATATTAAATATTAAACTGCCTATTTTCTCCCTGATTTCTATAATAATTTGATATTTGTCATTGTTTGTTTCATAATTAAATCATAATTGTTGTATACTTGTTGTCTTATAATTTTATATTAATTGTTGTATTTATTGGGGAAATTTCTTCTATAAGAATTGATTGAAATGGATACATTGGAGGATCGGGTTGCACGCCGCAACAGACTTATTAAAAGTTAATATTGGAGGAACGGGTTGCACGTCGCAACAGACTTATGAAAGTTAATATTGGAGGATCGGGTTGCACGCCGCAACAGACTTATGAAAAGTTAATATTAGAGGATCGGGTTGCACGCCGCAACAGACTTATTAAAAAGTCTATATATATACTTGATTGAAATAAATATATAACAGACTTGATTAAAATGAATATATTGAAGGAGCGGGTTGCACGCCGCAACATAACCGAATGTGAATAGGTTGTGAGAGCGGGTTGCACGCTGCAACAGAATTGAATGTGAATATATGGTAAGAGCGGGTTGTACGCTGCAACAGAATTGATGAAAATGATAATTGATTATGACTGCTGAGTTGTCTTAAATTATTATAAATGAATTACCTGATTTATTTCTATTATTGTTGTTATTGCTAATATTGCGTACAAGTTAATGTAAGTGAACCGCCTTAGGTTCGTCACTATTTCGTCGAGGTTAGGCTCAGCACTTACCAGTACATGGGGTCGGTTGTACTGATACTACACTCTGCACTTCTTGTGCAGATTTTGGAGTTGGTCCCAACGGCGTACCATAGACTTGCTCAGATTTCAGCTTCCAGAGGAGACTTGAGGTATAACTGCATGGCGTCCGCAGTTCTGAAGTCCCCGTCTATTTTACTTTAACTGTGTGTTTATTCCTAGACAGCTTTATTTTATTCAGACCTTATTTGTATTTATTCTAGAAGCTCGTGCACTTGTGACACCAATTCTGGGATGGTATTTAGACACCATTGTTTTTATGAACTATTCACTATATTTCAAACTTTGCTTCCGCTTTTGTTTTCTTGATTATTAATAATTTAAAAATTGCTTTAAAAAATTGGTTAATATTATTCTAACGGTTGCTTGCCTAGCAAGTGAAATGTTAGGCGCCATCACTGTCCGAAGGAGGAAATTTCGGGTCGTGACATATATGTATATTTTTATATAAAGTTTCTGAAATTTTATGGTACATATTAGTCATTTGTATTTTTAGTCTAGTTCTTTACTATTATAATAATCTAATTCTCTGCCTTCTAGTTTGATTGGTAGTTTTCTGTTGTTAAGTACAATAATTTATTTCAAGTTAAAAATAATCGATTTTTAATTGAGTACTTAAATTATTCATCACTATTTGAGTCAATTATCATCAATATATCTTGATAAATGATAAATTTCTCAAAGAGCAATTAGTTTGATAGCGTTACGTTGAAAATGTAGTCGTCGGAATATGCGTTTGGTAGTGTATGTCTCATATTTAAGAAAAAACCGATAAATAACCAAAAAAAACTGAAAAACCGATAAAAACCGAATCGATAAAAAACCGACATAATTGGTTTTGGTTTGGTTCCAATATTTGAAAAACCGACTTACTTGGTTTGGTTTCTTTTTAGGGAAAAAGCGACCCAAACCGAATTACTGTTTGGGAAGGGATACTAGACATTCATTCAGATTTATAGTTAGCGTTTAAGATTTTCTTCCAAAATGTATGGGTTTTCTATTGAATAAATGTCGAATTTCATTTACACCTTTTCATTCCAAGTTAAGGTTTCATTTTCATCCCCAAGAAGCTACCGAGTTTTCAAAGAAGAGAAAATAAAATGAAGAAAAAGGTATAAAGAAAGGGTGTATTTGGTATAACGGAAAATATTTTCCAAGAAAATATTTTTTTGGAAAACAAGTAGTAATCTTATTCATTTTCTAGTATTTGGTACGCGTAAACTTCCAAACACATAAACCTCCGAACTCATAACTTTGGAACTTATAAAATTTNAAAAATTGTGCGGGGGGTGGGGAGGTGTGAGTGCAGAAAAACGAAAAAACAAAAATTTGAAATTACAAAACAAAAAGTAAAAAAACAAATGTGCGGGGTGGGGTCAGTGGGGATGAGGGTGCAGAAAAATAAAAAAACAGAAATTTGAAATTATATAAAAAAAAGTTTAAAATTTTTTTTTCGGACTTCGGGGGTATTTTATTATGGGTTCATTATAGCTCAGGGGTAATGGAAACCCCCAATAGTTTAAGTATGAAAGTCTAGTTTAGGTGGGTTTTGATGTATTAACTCATTAAAAAAGCAGTCAAATGAATAGTAAAAGAAAAAAGAATTAGCCTTTTTTTTAATGCAAAAGGATACTTTGTAGTATTACGCTTTTAATTGGTACTAGTCTTAGGGTACGCGCTTCGCGTGTGTATCTATGTATATATAATTTAACAATTTACAATAATATTTTTGAATAATATATTTGAGTTATAAAATAAAATTATATTACAATTACAAAATATAACTTTGAGAAAATGATAGAATATTGATCCTAATTAGCTAAATTGTCTAATGTAAAATTTATTTTTGAAGGGTAAAAATATCGATCAATACTTCGCGAAGGGCACCCTTTTAGAGTACACTCTTAACATGTCTACCCATATTTGATATTCAATTCTCATGTGTCATTTTGAAAGTATTTCTTGAAGATAACATTGAGCTAAAGAGTATTATAATTATGGATAATGCGTTAGTTATATCTAATTATAGTATTTAATAAAACGTGTATTTAGATTTTAGTACATAAAATTTATCGAAGGAGTGTTAGATTAAACATTAATGAACATATTATTATATACTCCAAAAAATCAAACATATTATTTTTCACAAAAAAGTATTTTTCTATGTCTTATTAAGATAGAATTAATTGCTTATAATTCTACAAGTAATTTAAACCTACCACAAATAATAACTACTTTTTACGAAAAAATCTTATTTAGTGGTAAAAGACGTAGAAAAAGTCTTATCTAGTGATAAAAGAAGTCTAATATCAAACAAATGGTTAATGTTGTTATCTATTATATCCGTGTTTCAATTAGAAATTGATAAGTTAATTACCTTTTGTTTGTCTTAGTTTAATAACAACTTTCAATATATAAAAAAAGTCTTTGAAAGTGCATGTCAAGATTGTGCATATTTAGTTTTTATCAGATGCAAAATATAGTACCATATTTATAAGTAGAAATACGTTGATTTTGAATTCTTACCTAGTTCAAATATGGAAAATATTATTAACAAAGATTAATTGAAATCAAAGTCCTTAAATTAGGAAAATAATTAAATAGTTATTCCTAAATATTAGACAATTAATTAAATGTTATTCTTAAATATTAGAAAAATAATTTAATATGACTATTTTGTCCAGTATGAACTCCATTTTTAAAAGGTAAAAAAAGCGAACGATATTTTGCTAAAGACCTTCGTGCTTTTAATATAATAATATAGATAAAATAGGGCATTTTCTGTAGCGCCCGGTACACAAAATAATGCTATTAGTACCTTCAAAACATACATGGGGGAACTAACAAAAAGTTTACTATATTAGTAGTGCTATTAGCATCATGCATCCTAGTTCCAATTTTTTGTCAGGAACGCCATTTTTCGCCAGAAGAAGGGTTAGTCAATTAATTACAATCATCCACTAAAATTTAGTTCCCCCACCCCACAATTAAAATTGTAAATAGTGCCCGATGCACGCGAAATAAAATCAAGTACGGTGAAGAGAACTCCCTCTAGCAGCTGCGTCTGGCATAGGTGTATCTCCCGCCTCAGCTGGTGGGATAACCAATGTCGAGATAGAACCAGCAGCAGTAGTAATACCAGGTGCAAAAGAAGCAGGAGCTGGATACACAGCTGAATTAGGGGCATCAGCAGTAGTAGCAGCATTAGATCCAATAAAAACAGGAGGAACATCAACGGCAGAAACAACAGGTGCCAGAGTAGGTGGAGAAAAGGTGGAATCAGGCAGAGATATTCCAATATCCACAGTGGTATCATTCAACACCGTCTTCTGATCAGCAACAACATCCTCAACTACCTGAGTTGGGGCATCAGTGGTGGGAGTGGGAGTCGGGGCATGCTCATCGGACCTGGACAGACTCGCTCGAACCTCGGCTAGCTTGGCTAGAATCTCTGTACCATCAGTGCCCATAGCCTTGAATACAACTTCAATTACTAGCAAGGTATGCCTCCACTTCATCTCAAAGTTAGTCAATTGCTCCTCTATGGATGACTCTACGAGTTAGAAATGCATGCTCGAGTGGTCAGTTAAGCATCATTTTCTCCTTCTAACAAGCTTTTGAAAACAGCAGCATTAAGCATTTAAATTGTTACAACTGCCAAACTCAAACACCACATAATTTCTTTGTACTATTACATTATCCACAAAGGGGTCTTGCAAGGTTTTAGCTGTGCAGCAGCAAAATAGCTCAACTAATAAAATCCTCTAAGCCTTGACATAGCACATTATCCCTAAGAGGTCGTTTGGTAGGGTGTATAAGAATAATGCAGAATAAGGTGTATTAGTAATGCATGGGTTAGTAATGCAAGCATTAGTTATGCAGATATTATTTCTTATCTACTGTTTGGCGTGGTGTATTAAAATTATAATGCATTGCATAATTTTTAAGAAAAATAGTTGTTTACAAAAATGCCCTTCATATTCTCAAGCTTTAAGGGACTTTAAGGATAATTTTGTCTTTAATCAACCTAATGCATGCATTAGTAGCCTTGGTATTACTAATGCCATGGTTTTCTATGCATTACTTATACATAAGATAATACCAAGTATGATGTATTAGTTATACACAGGTTGGAAAAATGTACCAAACAAGGTATTAGTAATGCATAGAGCTAATGTTTGCATTATTTTTTCTAATACCTCCTACCAAACCACCTCTAAAAGGAATGCCATCGCAATAGATATTTCACAAAATGCTGCAAAAAATTATAACCTTAAAAAGGGTTAGGTAAGGCAAAGAATACCTTGAGTAGGAGTCGGGCCAAGCTCATGGGACGCGGACAGACCCACTGGAAACTGAGCTAGAATCTCTGTAATATTTATGCCCTTATCCTTGGCTTTAGTTTCTATTACTAGCCATATCTGTTTATGCATCCTCTCAATATTAGCCAATCGCTCCTCTGGGAGTTAGAAATGCATGCTCGAGTGGTCAGTTAATTGAAGTAGCAGTGGCATTAAGCATTTAAACTACCAAAACAAACACCAAAATAGTTTCTATAATTTACTTTGTCCACAAAGGGTTGAACTTGCAAGGAATTAGGTACATAGCAGCAAAATAGCCCATCCAATCAAAAACTCTGACCCTTGAAATACCACATGTGATCTTTAAAAGAAATGCAGTCACAATTGATATTTCACAAATTGTGTTAACTAGGACACCATATTTAAACCAGTATTCTTATACAATGTATGAAAGACAAAAATTGAATAACAAGAAGCAGAACGAAATACCTATGGCGCAAGCGTTCTTGTCATCGTCATCGTCGTCGTCGTCGGCGTCAGAATCGTAGTCGTCTTCAGACATTGACTCATCCTCCTGAAGCTTCTTCACGATGAGACCGGGCATGGCTGTTTTTGTACGGTGGATTTGTAGAATATAGAAGTAGAAGGGGTTCTCAGTGCGTTGAGATAAAATTGGCAAGCAGGAAGAAATTTGCTTTACCATATGGTGCGGTTTTTTTTACCTTCGGGTTCCTCTCTATGGAACTGCCTAACTAGAGCCCAATTTCATCAGCCCATTTATTCCTTGTCTACTCTTTAATATATTAAATAAAAGAATTAAGGGTAATATCACTTTTAGCTTGCGTAAAAATTATAACATACAGAATGTATATATATACAAAAAATATAGTATATTTTTCCGACTATTATTTTGAGAGCGGCTATACAATGTCATTTTGCGAAAAACTAATGGGAAATTACCAGTTATGTCAGCTCATAAGAAAGTTAGTATAAAAACTAGCCAATTCATAAAATATTACCAATATTAACCAATTAGCTATTTGTAGCCAAAAAAATATTAAATTTTTGCTTTCTTTTGAGTGGGTGTTGTTGTAATAGATTGGATACATCTTAAAGAGTTTAAATCTCAGTTTTGGGATGACTTGGTAAAGTTTTGAGATGGTTTGAATTGAAAATTCGAAATAGAAGATGAACTTGAAAAAAGATCATATATGTATCACACTTGTATTATTTATGTATCACACATGTATCAAATGTGTATCACATGCATATCTATGTCTACCTGTGTGTGAGATACATGCGTAATACATGTTTAATACTTGTGTCGTAGAAGAATTATTTCAACTTGATTTTAACTACGAATTTTGACACCAAGTCACCTCCAATCTTCCTCAAATTTTGTATAGTGACTCAACTATATGTTTTCAATGATATTCAATCATACNATATATATATATATTTGTATTTCATCACCTTTTTTGCTAGCTACCTCATATATGAAATTTCTTTTCCTTCTTGCATCAAATGTTGTTGATCACGCTTAAAAATATGGAAAGAGATCTTTGGATTTTCAATTTTTGTATGTGTTTGGCTGGTTTTAGTAAGTTTATGATTAATGACTAGAGATTGGTAAGTTAGGACTTACTTGGCATATTCCCGTTAGATTTCCAAAAAAAAATACTTTGTCAATCTTCTGTGCCGTTTATAGTGTTGTGTTGTTATACGCCTATAACTAAATTTGACATTTAGATGTATTTGACTGTAACAAACAAAAAATACCCCAAAACTTAATTGTTTAAATTTGTTTGTTATAAAAGATAAATAAGGTTATTTAATTTTAAAATCTCGAATGACATTCATATTTCGTTAATTTAATATTTTTTAAAAGCTAAAACAGTATTAATAAGGTGGAGTGTGAAAAAAAATGACAGAATACAAAAAGTCTCCAACTTTATCTGTTTATTTCTTATGTTCAATTAACAAGAGTTTTTTTTATTTTTGGAACTTACAATAAGTTATGCCTCTAATAAAATATAATTAATATATTACTTTTTTATTATGATGAAATAATAGATAAATATATAGATATGTAATTTTATAAAGAATATTATTGCAATAATAGATGTTATCGGCGAAATGCTGTTATAGAGAGTAAATATAACATAAAAAATCAATTTTATTTGTTACCGTAATATGTTTTTATGAAGAGAAAATGTCATAGAGAGGTATTATATAATGAAATGCCAAAGTTCTTTTTCATCTTTCCGGTATAAGACATGGAGTAGTACTTAAGACGAAAATGTTTTAAATGACACTCTGAATAAAGAAGAAATTTATCTATTACAATAATATGTTTTTATGAAGAGTAGATGTTATAGAGAGGTATAATATAATGAATGCCAAAATTCTTTTTCATCTTTCCGGTATAAGACATAGAGTAGTACTTAAGACGGAAATGTTTTGAATGACACTCTCAATAAAGACAAATGTGTATAATTAAGGGAAAATCGTGTATGAAGTTAGATTTTCTTTTCTTTTTCTCCCTTAGCTTACTAAAAGTCTTAAAGAATATGACTAGGTTGCTTGCTGTAAATCCTACACTAAAATATGTGATTCAAGTTTTCCGTTGACTATCTGTTTGACCCAAAATTTAGATCCGGGTTAAATCAATTAGATTTAAATTAGGTGGAGTCATTCTTAGCTGATATCAATATCCAAAAGATAAGATAATCGACTTTATAGTAGATAAGGTGTATATTTAACCGAATGGCGGTAAATGTGGACAACACTAACAATATTCAATGACCCAAAGGTGGTAGATAACATTAAATAATGATAAATAGCAATAAATGACATTTAAGTAAATAAGAACATGCGAATCACCCGAAAAGGGATGGGATTTGTGGATATTCCTTCTGATAATGATGAATGATTGATGAGCATTCGAATATTCAAGTAGTTCTTGGATCAAGTGAAAAAGTTATATAAGAATTTTAGTGAAAAGGTATTTCTCGTGTGTTTGCAATAAAGCCAGATTCTCTCTGTAAAGTCAATGAGTTTTCTTACAAGTGAACATTTTATGTCTCCTATCCTTGTGTCTCTTTCTATTTATAGGGAACATGTACCTAGAGTACCCTAATAGTACAGGTATAGAGCATATCCACTCGAATATTCTCCTTTGATGTCTTATCCTAAAACTAGTCATTATTTACTCTATTTACGGTGAGTGCTCGACCTCGAACCCGATCTTCGCTGACTCTTTAATCTTGATCTTTGTTGACTCTTCGAACTTGATATTCAATAGCTTTATTAGCCCTTCACTTCTTAAGAGATCACTTCGACGTCGGGAAGGCCTTTATCGAGGTCGTACTAGAAACACGTGGCAGTCTGCGAGTGCCTCTTTAATGTTAACATGGTTTGATCATATCAAAGGTAATTTTTGACCCATACAGTTAGTCCCTCTGCTTATTGAGATCGTCCTCGCAGGTGAGCTCAATGAGCGGATAATGTCATTTGTGGTCGAACTTATCGAGTAGGCTGCAATAGTCGTAGTCAGCATGACGAACAAGCAACGTGGCCCTCTATGGGCCGCATATTTCAAATACTTCATGTTTCTTGGGTAATTTGTTGGATTTATCTTGTCCAAGGATTAGAGTGACGTCGTGATATCATGCGTCATTATGACACATATTCCCGATACGCTGTTTCGATTTGTACTTGACCCTTGATTGGATCTACCGTTTCGATTCCGGTGCCAATTATGATGAGCCATTTTCAGGTTTAGTGCTATGATCTCTATAAATATAGGTTCTTGGACCTGGGTTTGAAGTTTGTTTCTTTTAACTTTTCAGAGCATCAACCTTCTTCTCTGCATTTTCTTCTCTGAACATCATTTCCTTATTTTGTTGCCCTGCATCATTCCCCATTCTTTCCCATTTGTTATTCTTCTTCATCACCTCGAATCATGTTCGATTTACCCTCAGATGCTGGTGAAGGGAGTCGTGTTGCTCCCTTGGCAGTTGTGTTTCCCTTCCATGGGGAGGGTGTTTATGCCATTGTCGAGGATGAAACTTTCCCGTCGGTGGAGAAAATAATCCCTTGTAACCCGACGTGAGGTCTGACCTCACTCGATCATCGTACGATGCACCCGAGATTTTCCTACCGACGATGATGTCCAAAGAATTGGCGGAATTCAAGGCCAAGTTTGGTCTTCCAAATCACGTCGAATTAGTCTCGGCCGAAGGGGATGTGGTGCAGGTTCATCGCGCTGGATACTATGCTCTATACGCCTACCCCTTCCTCATCAGTTATTCGTTCCTACTTCTTCTATTGGTGAAAGAATTTTATCGTCATTACGGCGTCTTCCCTGCTCAGCTTGCACCATACGTTTACAAGATTATTAGAATGCTGACTAAATTTGCCGAGCTAGCCTGGGTCAAACTGACACTGCAATATTTGGTGCATCTATTCGCCCCTAGCTTCTATAGGGGAACGATGCTGAACATTCACCACCGTGGAGGCAAGTACTTGGTGGTGAAGACGGACGACAAGGCCAATCCTTAGTTCTGCCTCAACTTCTTCTATGTAAGGACTGAGGACATTGTGGCTAACATCGATGGCTTTTCTGAGGCCTGGAACTACACATGTAAGTGCACGATTTCTGTTTTTATTCTTTTATTTGCTTGGAATTAGTTGAAGGATTTTCCTTTTCTTGCAGCCAACAACCAGTCTCCCTTTTTAGTTACGCGCATTTCCGATTGGGTCTAGCAAATCCTCCCTCATGTCATAGGACTGGTCGAGCTTCTTCAAGAAGTTCAAACCGGCTCTTCCTTCGACATGCAACTTCTTCTCTTTGGCCGTGGTCGTTTTACTTTCCGTTGTGTGTCGATTCGTTCTACTAACTTAGTATTTTTTCTCTTTCCCAGGCAGGGGGTCCTCTCGGAGGAGCCGGGCACCAGTGCCCTCTTTTCGGAGGAAGGCTGATGCGCCTTCAGCTTCTTCCCCAGCTGCGACTACTGTACCTTCCATACCGGCCCCTACCTCGGCTGTTGTAGTCCGAGAACTTGTCTTCATTCTGTCTGCTACTTCTGCTCCTCAACTCTTTTCGCTGGTGGATGGAGACGACGTCTCTCCAGATGATGGGGGTCTAATGCCCCATAAGAGGAGAGCCGTAGATGCGGGAGGAGAGAGGCCGATAGCTGACGAGCGCAAAACACAACACGAAATTGATGCTCGCTAGCCAAAGATAGTAAAGTTAAATTATCGCCTCCACATGGATTGGATTTAAGCAATGTTCAAGTAGTGTCTAGCTTAACGCTATTCAGGATGATTAACACTTTAGTTGGGATGATTAACAACTATAATTAACTATGAAAACTAAATCAATTAACAATTAATCAGAGGAAGAAAAGAATTGAGCAACACCGAAATAATCAATGGGAGAAATAAGGGTCATGACAGGATAGGTGCAAGATAGCTATTTGGGATCTAACTCTAGTTCAATTCACTCTAAAGTTCTAATGATTCTCACAAATAATTAACTCGATGATTAGTTCAAACGTGTAGTTAAGACTCCTCTCTCGATTAAATCTTAACACTACGAGGTGAACTAATAGAAGTAATGTGAACATATGCAAGCATGTGTTAATGGATTAGTTTTCAGGAAAACGTCTCTCGAATATTCTCCCAACTTGATTTAATCAACAATTCAACAGCTCTTTCGATTACTTAAAAGAATCACTG